AACATAAATATTACTCGTACATTCACATTTCTGAGAAGACATATGTTACCTATACATGTTACTCGTACATTCGTATTACTCGTACAAACATGTGTCTTTTAAACCATACATTTGAATGGTTAAAAATACATATGTTACATGTGGATTCGTATTGATAAGAAGAAGCATGTGACCCGTACATTTTAATGGTTAAAAACATGCATGTTACTCGTACATCCGTATTGCTAAGAAGACACGTGTTACCTACACATTCACATAGTTAATACATACATGTTCCCGTATATTCGCATTGTTAAGAACACTCATGTTACCCTATTACAAATTAAAGAATAATTTTTTAAAGTGATTAAATTTTCATCAATAAAACTATTCAAGTCTAATTATCAATATTAATTAAATTCTCCATACAAAGTAAAAAATAACATTTCGAAAGAGACCAAGTTAAGGGAAAAAAGTATATCAGTCTAAAGAATAGTGTCAATCTCCACCAACATAGCCACAGAGATAATGATTATGTCACACTTATGTCTCTTCCTCGCCATCATTCTTCTCTCATTCTTCTTTATCCTTAAGTGGTGATGTGATATGAAAAGAGATTGCATGTTTGTGAATTGTAAAAGATGAATACAAAAACATACTATAGAGCTTTGACAACATAGAAAATGAAAGAAATTAGATATTGAGCTTGCATATAAAAAAAAGCATTATGAAGCTAATATGCATAAGTTAGAATGGAAGAAATAAGGAAAATATTGAACTAAAAATTGGAGGAAAAATTCATTTTTACCCTTAATCATCTAGCAAAACTGGCCGTATATTGAACTAAAAATTGAAAAAACAATTCAAAATAACACTAAGAAATTCATAATAAAGTGTAATGATAAATCATACAACAATGTTATTTTGAACAAAAAAATAATAAAATAAGCTTCATCCATAAAAAATGGCCAAAAATGTTAATTTGTCAAATAAAAATGTTACATTGTTAGTAAATGTTGAAAAGACGTAATGTTATTAAAAAAATCATTATGTAATAACAAAGTTGTCCTTGAAAAAATCTAAGTGTCAAGCATATGGTATCCCTCAATAATTATTATTCTTCTCATTAATTATGTTAGCCTATGAAATTTTGACGGTAAAAAATGAATGTGGTTGTGACACATGTGAAAATGAATAGTGGTGAAACGTTTTTCTTATATATAGTATATAAATTAAATATTATTATTATTATATCTTATTAAATAATATATTGGGTAATGGACAAAGTGTAAGTGTATATTTTTATCCTATGTGAGAAGTTGTACAAAGTAAGTTATCTTATTAAATAATAGATTAGATATTGAAGAGGTATGATGCACTTTTATCTTGTGTTGAAGGTTGTACATTAAGAAAGTGAGGTGTTTTGGGAGGGAAATTTTTTGTTAATAATAAAATAAGCTTCATCCATAAAAAATGGCCAAAAATGTTACATTGTTAGTAAATGTTGAAAAGACGTAATGTTATTAAAAAAATCATTATGTAATAACAAAGTTGTCCTTGAAAAAATCTAAGTGTCAAGCATATGGTATCCCTCAATAATTATTATTCTTCTCATTAATTATGTTAGCCTATGAAATTTTGACGGTAAAAAATGAATGTGGTTGTGACACATGTGAAAATGAATAGTGGTGAAACGTTTTTCTTATATATAGTATATAAATTAAATATTATTATTATTATATCTTATTAAATAATATATTGGGTAATGGACAAAGTGTAAGTGTATATTTTTATCCTATGTGAGAAGTTGTACAAAGTAAGTTATCTTATTAAATAATAGATTAGATATTGAAGAGGTATGATGCACTTTTATCTTGTGTTGAAGGTTGTACATTAAGAAAGTGAGGTGTTTTGGGAGGGAAATTTTTTGTTAATAATAAAATAAGCTTCATCCATAAAAAATGGCCAAAAATGTTACATTGTTAGTAAATGTTGAAAAGACGTAATGTTATTAAAAAAATCATTATGTAATAACAAAGTTGTCCTTGAAAAAATCTAAGTGTCAAGCATATGGTATCCCTCAATAATTATTATTCTTCTCATTAATTATGTTAGCCTATGAAATTTTGACGGTAAAAAATGAATGTGGTTGTGACACATGTGAAAATGAATAGTGGTGAAACGTTTTTCTTATATATAGTATATAAATTAAATATTATTATTATTATATCTTATTAAATAATATATTGGGTAATGGACAAAGTGTAAGTGTATATTTTTATCCTATGTGAGAAGTTGTACAAAGTAAGTTATCTTATTAAATAATAGATTAGATATTGAAGAGGTATGATGCACTTTTATCTTGTGTTGAAGGTTGTACATTAAGAAAGTGAGGTGTTTTGGGAGGGAAATTTTTTGTTAATAATAAAATAAGCTTCATCCATAAAAAATGGCCAAAAATGTTAATTTGTCAAATAAAAATGTTACATTGTTAGTAAATGTTGAAAAGACGTAATGTTATTAAAAAAATCATTATGTAATAACAAAGTTGTCCTTGAAAAAATCTAAGTGTCAAGCATATGGTATCCCTCAATAATTATTATTCTTCTCATTAATTATGTTAGCCTATGAAATTTTGACGGTAAAAAATGAATGTGGTTGTGACACATGTGAAAATGAATAGTGGTGAAACGTTTTTCTTATATATAGTATATAAATTAAATATTATTATTATTATATCTTATTAAATAATATATTGGGTAATGGACAAAGTGTAAGTGTATATTTTTATCCTATGTGAGAAGTTGTACAAAGTAAGTTATCTTATTAAATAATAGATTAGATATTGAAGAGGTATGATGCACTTTTATCTTGTGTTGAAGGTTGTACATTAAGAAAGTGAGGTGTTTTGGGAGGGAAATTTTTTGTTAATAATAAAATAAGCTTCATCCATAAAAAATGGCCAAAAATGTTAATTTGTCAAATAAAAATGTTACATTGTTAGTAAATGTTGAAAAGACGTAATGTTATTAAAAAAATCATTATGTAATAACAAAGTTGTCCTTGAAAAAATCTAAGTGTCAAGCATATGGTATCCCTCAATAATTATTATTCTTCTCATTAATTATGTTAGCCTATGAAATTTTGACGGTAAAAAATGAATGTGGTTGTGACACATGTGAAAATGAATAGTGGTGAAACGTTTTTCTTATATATAGTATATAAATTAAATATTATTATTATTATATCTTATTAAATAATACATTGGGTAATGGACAAAGTGTAAGTGTATATTTTTATCCTATGTGAGAAGTTGTACAAAGTAAGTTATCTTATTAAATAATAGATTAGATATTGAAGAGGTATGATGCACTTTTATCTTGTGTTGAAGGTTGTACATTAAGAAAGTGAGGTGTTTTGGGAGGGAAATTTTTTGTTGAGGTTGTGACACTTGTCATGAGATGAAATAAGAGAACATTTTTTTATTATATAGTATATAGATTTGTGGTTGGGTTGAAAAGTAAAGGAAAGAAAATTAAAGTGAAGTAATTTTTTTCCCATTATTTGGTTAGGGAAGGACAAAAATTGTGAGACCCATGCTTTTATATTTTCTATTCAATATTGAGGGAAAAATGTATGTAATACACTATAACTGCATAATCAATCATTCATATTTTATTATCATTGACTCTTCAAAAAAAGTAATACAATGACGAATGATGTGGTGATTGTGTATAAATCTTTAAATTGATACTACATAGATATTACATTTTAAATTTAAAAAAATTGTATCTTGTGTTAATGAGGCTTATAAATGTCGACAATGTACTAAAACAAAAGAGTAAAAATGTATACGCTTATAGTGTATGAGTTTTATAGATTGTCATTGTATCATTCGTCATTTATGTTCTACCATCATTGACTTTTCAAAATAAACATTACAAATAAATGATAATGTAGTGATTATATATAAATTTCTAGAATGACAATACATAGATATTACACTAAAAAAATAAAACAACATATATATGTCAATGTCATTATTAATAACAATTATATTATTTTATGTTCACTTTATTTCAGTTTTATATCATACCAAACAACTAACAAATCATCCCATTTTATATTCATTTTCTTCTCAACTTTTATCTTTTAAATAAAGTTGTAAGTGTTTCCTCTAGTTGTATTATTTTTTTGTCCTTTTCAAAACCCAACAAGTACCATTTAGCAATATGTTTCAACAAACACATTGTTGGTTAGAAGCATGAGTTATGGAGTTATGGAGTGATGGTGTGAATGAAGGTCTTAATTGTGGGAACAAATAGACTCATCATACAGGAAAAAAGAGTTGTAGCCTGAGTACAATCACATCCCAAAGCAATGGGAACTTATTCAGAAGTTGATTTAATTGATGTTGACTATGAAATAACAATTCCGAATCAACATATATGCTCATGTCTCACCAAATTTCAGGTACTTGGTCTTTTCAACACTATTTCAAGTACAGTGCAAACTTGTTACTTTTTAAATAAATATTTAGTTGCAAACAAAACATACTTTATACTTAGCACTAGTAGTCAAAAAAGTTCACACACATACATGTCCAAGTTCTTGATGTTAAAAGATAATAAAATAAAGTTGAGATTATTAGCTGAATACTTTAAGTTATTTATTGTTTTTAATTAGGTATGGTGATTTTTTTTGTTTCATTTTCACCACATCCATATTTTTTTTATCACAAATCAATTAATAGTCAACTAAAATTCATAATATTGAGGATATTGGTTTGAAATGAAGATATTTATAAAATCTCTTCATTGGTTTTCTAAAATTGAATCATTAAAATAAGTTTCGGGCCACAAATTAAAGAATTAGAATCAATTTGAAAATAAAATATAACTTAAATAAGTGAATAAAAAAAACATAATGACTTAAATATCAATTTTTAAAAAATTATTACAAAACTAGTTTGAAATCAGAGAATAAATTGAAAATATAGGTCTAAAATTAAAGTTAAACTCGAAAACCTATCTAAAATTTTGGACGGGTCGGGTCGAATAAAACCCGTTTCATTGCGAAGCCATGAAAACAGAAAACGATGAGAATTGAGAAGTCATCGAAATTGAAACGTTCTCCCCAAAAACCAAAACCCTTATTACTCTCTTAGATTTTGGATCTCAATTTCACGATAAAAACGTGTTTATTGAATTGCAAATTGAAATTCCAGGCGCATATTCGAGGCCTCAATGCATACTATCGCCACACAAAAATACATCAATGATTGCGGTACTTATCTTTCACATTTCATGCCTGAATTCTACAATATTCCGCTCTAGCTGTTTTTATTTAGGGCTTGTCTATTCTGGCGTAAAAAGTGATTTTGAAAAAAAAGTGATTTTTTGAGAAGGTGGAAAATGCAGGTTCTCCAAACAAAAACGAAAGAAATGAACTTCAGTTTTTTTTGTAGCTAACAAGGTAATTTATAATTGTTAGAAGTGTTTATTTATTTATTTTATTTTATTTATGTTAAATCAAAACAATCACCTCTTTGTGAAAAACTTTATCAGTAACTGTATCACAATGATGTTTCTTTTGGTACTATTTCAATTTCAAGGAAAATATGGTCTAGACTATAGAGAGAAGGGTTACTCTTTTTATGTTTTTCCTTGGCTTAGTCATCAGAATTTGGTGTTGTTGAACGAATTTGATTTGTGAATCATGTTGATGGAGAAAATTCAAAAGCTTTTTTTTAGTCTAGGAGTGGATAAAAGGAAATCAATCAAATTTTGAAAGCTTGATTTGGTTGGATCCTTGTGTCCTACAGGAAAAGGGTGACGAACAATCTTCTCCACTCAGAAGGAAGGAGGCTACAGTCATCCATAAATACCCCATTTTTTAGCACTTTATTTAAGCACTTAACCTTTTTTCAGAAAGAAAAAAACAATGTAAAGCATTACATGAATTTAACTCCAATTGTTGTGCTTATTACTGTTATGAATTCATTTAACAGTGACTTAATGGTGCATTGCACAGCTTTTAGAAGGAGGGTCCTGCTATAGAGTGTTTCTTTGATTCAGGTTTTTCCTTTTTGTTTTGCAAATTTGAATTGTTTGTTACTTTTGACTCTTGTCATTTGAAAAGATATTTTGTGCACTTTCTGGTGCTGTGGATATGGCTGAAAAGCCTTCAAAAATTTTGTGTGGATATGAGGTTGTTGTACCTTCTTCTTTAAGAAAGCATATTTGCTTTGATTATTGGTTTTACCCCTTTTATAGAGGTTGTCACCTTGTCATCATTAATTCTGTTGTTACTGAGTTTGTAAGTCTAACTAGAAGTTTGGTTAAAAAACTTAACAGCCTTTACTGCAAGTGAACCTTAGGTGCTAAAATCTTTTCAGCTTGATGACAACGGCATACTTTTCCTGCTTGACATGCTTCTGCATAATTTATTGAACTTTTCCATTTCCCTAGTTCAATGCTATAAATTTAACATGCAGTGTCGATATAAAGATTTATACACAATCAGTGCATCATCCACTATTGATTTATGTTTTTTAAGAGTCAATAATAATTAAATATAAATGAGAGATGATGCACGGATGGTGTATAAAACTCTTACACAGTCGAGTTGATACATATTTATCATGTATTTTCAGGGAAATGACTTCAGTTTCAGCCAGTTGATAACTTTGATGAGTTTCTTGAGGAGATGTTTCCCTGATTTTAGCCTTATTGATTACCGGACCTGAAAAGCCCATCCTAACATTAAAGTTGGGCAGAGCGGCAGCCCCTAAAATACAGGAATCATGTGATTAAAAAGATGACATGATTTATAAAAGTTATAAAAATTGTACTGTACTAACTGGTTCAACTAGAAAAATGATGAGTTAGTTCTCATAAAATAATTATATCAGTCATGTAATGATATTGGTCAAAACTAATCATACCGGCTAGTTTTCATTTAAGCCGTACTCGTTGTACTTAGAGCTATTAATAGGGGTTACATGATCGGTTTAGGTTAGCACATATAGAATTCGGATTAAACCGAATCGGGCCAAAAGCCTCGGGTACAATTTATCAATGTTATTAAAACCGTACCGGTTATCAAACCAGTCAGGGTACTGGTATAGTGGTACAGTGGTTCAACCAGTGGTTCAGTAATTAAACCGCATGCCGGTTAAACTGGACATACTTGTTTATATATATATATATAAACCTATAAAAAAAATTCAAATAAGTAGATATTCATATTTATAATTCATATTTATAATTTACTTCAAATTCACACAAACAAACAACATTAAGTTTTTAATAAAATCAAAGTTTAAAGTGCAAAACATATATTAATCCAAAATTATCACTTAACAAACGCAAAATACAAATAAATGAAAGTATCAATCATTGAAGTTGAAGAATTGGTGAAGAATTGAAAATTTGAAATTTAAAAAAAAAACAAAATTAATGTACAAACCGATCGGTTTAAACCGGTTTTCACCGGTTCTATTGCATATGCGGTATAACATACGTACCGTACCGGTTAGGGGTCCGGTTCACCGGTTTTCCGGTTGAACTGGCCGGTACGGCACGGTTTTAAAAACATTGCAATTTATGCATATTAAATTGTAGCTCAAATTTGCCTTAAGCGAGTTGTGGTGGACTGACCCATATAATATTAAAAGATAATTATGTAAATTTTAATATATTTTTTATAAATTATATATCATATGATATTAATGTACAACTTTTTTATCATACTTGTTATTCCCTGTTCAACCAAACTCAAATCTATTGTCTTATATTTTAGTTAAAATATGATGTCAAATTCACTTATATAATTTTTAACATAAACCATTTATTAAATCTTTTATGCATATTGGACTCTCATTTTCTAATATAATATAATTTGTGACTTCATTTTAATATATAAACTTTTGGGCACTATCAAAAATATATTAGCTGAATTATTGGTATGCCCTTTTGAGTAGGTTTTACTTGTATATTATATATATATATTATAAAAAATAAGAACAATTTTTAGTTAGAAATGACTTTTAGAATTTGTAAAATGATTTTTTTTGTTTTGAAAAACCATATAAAATAAAAGTACTTTAAATCATAAATGCTAAAAATAAAAAAGGATTTGCTAACCTAAGTAAAGAGATTTCTTCGTTAGTATTCTACACGAATATTTTTGGACAAAACTAATCCTCTCATTTTAGTTGTAATAGATTTAGTTTTATAATTTCCATTTCAAAAAGTCTTCTCTAACTTTTTTTCGTCTCCCCACTAACATACTTATCCCAAAATACCAAAAACTCTAGCGACCTAAGATAGTTGTATTGTTGCCCTCCCAAAATACCAATGATGAATGTTTCTTTTGTGGGCCATACTAAAAGGGTGAAAAATAACAAAGTATGGAAATTGACACATACTCTAAAGAACAAAGTATAGACTTGGCTGTTTGGCGGTTTTAGTGGTGAAGGTTTTTTTGGTGTTTTGAGATAAATAGTAGGTTAATAGAAAAAAAATTAGGGATGAGGAGTGATTTTTTTTAAAATGAAAATTATAATATTATCTCTATTATTAAATCTATTACAACTAAAATATGAGGATTAATTTGTCCAAAAGTCTTGATGCATAATACTAACGTGCTACAACTAAAAAAATATTTTAACATATAGCAAAATCCGAATAAAAATTATAAAATGAATAATGCCTTATTACATTGACTTTCAACCTTATATATAAAATCACAAAGATATTTTTCAAAGTTTTAAATGAATTATATATGGAATTTATTAAAAATTTAAAACTATTAATTAAAGTATTGCAAATATATAGAAATTGACAATTTGGAATCTGGAATATCAATTTTTAAAAGTTCATATTTAACAACTTAAAATAATATAAAAGATGAAAGCAAATTTAGAATTTTGGTTGTAATAATAGTAATCAAATTAATACCATGCCATTTAAAACATAACCTTCTTTATATTCCACCTTTTTTCTGTAAATAAAGAATTCATTTAAGGATAGTTTTAAATTAATGTTAGTAAGAATGTTTTAAAATCTGAACCCAACATCAAAACGAAAAAATCGGGTATTAAGTTTAATCGGTTTAAACCATTCGGTCGGTTGAGTGATTATATATAATTAATAATTATGTATAATTATATTGAAGTAATATTTCTCTGTCTTTTTTCAGACCCAAACTAAAATAAAACATAGTAATGTTCCGCTTGTTTATTTTTCAATTTTACGTGAACCATCTGATTCAATTTTTGGGTTATTCTAGTTTAATTGAGTTTAACACGGTTGGATTAATGTTTCCCCGGTTTAAAGCGGTTCATGCCCTCGTTCCATTAAGACTTCAAATCAGAGTCGTTTTTAAGTCCTGTCGGCAATCAGACTAATCAGACCACCCAATCCATTCCTGACAACACCAATTATTAATAGAAGCATGTGAATTAATTATTACAAATTATACATTGTCAGCTAAATTACACTTTTTTAATTCATAATTTCCATTATTATCCTTCATATTTAAAAAAAATGCATTAGTTATCCTCAACAAAAAAATTATATTGTTTTTGTTGTCTCATCTTATCTTCGAATAATTAAAAATATTGTACATCTGATTAAAATAAAATAATAAAATTATGTACTGAAATTTTTATTTTAAAATATCTATGTAGTTGTTCCACTTAATAATTATTTGATTTATAAATAACTAAATAATATTGTATGTATTTTGTAGTCATTTTTTAAATTTCAACTCTTTACAAAAACTAGTTTAATAAGTTATGTAAACAACTACAAACTTCTAGCTATATTCACAACTACAAATTATTTTATCGAACAGTCCCAAATAATTATCTTTACCAAAAAAAACTTATAATAATAAATATTATTATGGTAATTATAATTACTTAATGAAAAAATTAAAAAAATAAATAAATTCTTTATGTGTGCAACAAGAATTACAAGGGTCTAAAATAGAAAAGAATTTAGTAAAAAATATAAGACAATAAAGTTTCCATTGTATTTAAAAAGGGAAATGTGAACCAATGTTCACTGTTTAAGGAAAGCAAAGAAAGTAACTTTGTATTAGACAATGGCACATTTAAAACATAAAAATCTTAGAACTTGGTTTTTTAAGATTATTTTACTCATTTTACATTCTCTAAACAATGCGCTTAGACACTTACAAATACAAGCATTTACAAAATTGACACAGAACACACTAAGAATATGAGTTATTATAAAAAATAAAAAAAAAATACTTACATTTTAAGACTAAGACTCTGTACCGAAAAATTACAATACTAGAACAATGTCTTATTGGTTTTTAAGAGGACCCGTAACATAATGTTATAATATGTTCAAAAAATATACCCAAGTTTTGTTAAAATGGTCTGAGCCAATTACAAAACAAGAATAAGCTGAAGCAGAATTTTCAGAAAAAGTACAATTCAGCATGAGAAAGAATCTATAGATACGTCTATCACCTCATGTATGATTTTTTACTATATTATCTATGATTCATATATTTAATATTTAATATAGATATTACACTAACGTCATTGAAATTTTTCTCATACACAATCTACCTATTGTGAATGGTGACTTGCTGGGCCAACTAATCCATTATTGAAATTGAAGCAACAATCATAGTTATATATATAATTCAATTTCATTAATCTACGTAAATGCTAAAATCTTTGTATCTAGAAGTTTCATACAGAGATGGAGGAAGAGAAGAACAGTGTTATAGTGAAAGTGCAACCAAAACCCAGAAAAGGGTTCATTTCAATAGTCATTGATTTGTTGGAGAAGTTGCTGGTTAAGTTGTTCTATAATTCTTCACGGCCACATCATTACCTTGCTGGTAATTTTGCACCTGTTGATGATGAGACCCCTCCAACTAAGGATCTTCATGTTATAGGCTACCTTCCGGTTAGTACTAGTATACTTGACATTAGGACATGTATATGTTATCTTCACTCGAGATCGGAAGGTCCAGTACTGGTAGAGATACGTGACGCAGATAATTTTTGAAGGGTCCATGATACTTCAAAAAAATACTAACATATGTTTTATGATACTCTAAAATGGTTTTATATTTTATGATTTTTATCACTATCAATGTATCTGTATCATATTGTATCAGTTGTTGGGGGTGTTGTTTATCTATTTTTCTACTTTGAATTTGCATGCTACAGGATCTATGAGAGTAAATATATAATTCACAAAAAGGGTTGTTGGTTCTTATTTAATTTAATCATTTTTCTGTTGCTAAAAGAAATATAAGATAATGAGCCTGAATATCACTGGTATTGCAGGATTGCTTGAATGGAGAATTTGTTAGGGTGGGACCTAATCCAAAGTTTGCTCCTGTGGCTGGATATCACTGGTACGGTTCTTTTGTAAGCTTTATAAAGATGTTGTTTTTACCATCTTAATTTTTGTGGGAAGGTTTGATATTAACATGGGTTTTTTTTAGTTTATCTGATTTTTATAAAAAAGAATTTCTTATTGTGGAGTTTTAAGGTCATAACATGTTTTCACTCACTGTTTTTGCAGGTTTGATGGAGATGGGTGTGTAATTCTCATCCTTTGCACCAAATTGTAGTTCTTGCAAGTTTGTGAAAGAAGAATTTTCATGTCACTTGAGTCCCTACATATGATTATAGAATGGGAAGGATGAATGCTCTATTTCATGGATCTTATTATTCTAAAACATAGAGAATATGATGAGCATTAAACTTTAATCAAATTATCATAGTATTTTTTTGGCTGAATGCTTTGTTTGCATTTTGATTATACATTTTTGTTGAAATCTATAAAATATATGGATCCTAATCTAACATAATGTCAATTTTGGATCATTGATTACAAATTCACAATGTAATTCCAAATTATGACCCTAGTTCTATTGGAACTGCATATGTAAATATTAGAA